TGTCCGTATGTATGCTTAGATCTTTAAAACTACGCAACGGATTTTGATGCGGTTTTTTTTAATAGATAGAGTGATTCTTAAGGAAGGTTTGTTTGTATATACATATTGCACCCGTGCGAAGCCGGGGCGGGTCGCTAGTATGCCATAAAAAAAAAAAAAAAAAAATGAAATAATACACTTTGTTTCGCCTTAGTACATCAGCTACCTGACAGTAAAAGTCCCGTCAAAATCGGTCCAGCCATTTCTAAGATTAGCTGGCTTTATGTCAGACAGACAGGCAAAAAAATTTAAACAATGTTATTTTGGTATAGGTATGTATCGTATGTATATTCAAATAACAAACAACAACAGACTGCCTCGTTGGCCGAGTGGTCGCAAGTGGGACTGCCGGGCAAGAGGTCTCGGGTTCGATTTCCGGGTCGGGCAAAGTACTACTGGGTTTTTAAAAAATTCTCAGTAGTAGCACGGAGTCTAGAATTGTGCCTGGTATATGGCAATAGACTCACCCTCTATTACATGGGACTTATAACATAAATAGTGAAAAGTGGGTGTTACATTGTAGGTACAGTGGTATAATGTGCACCTCTGCCTACCCCTTCGGGGATAAAAGGCGTTATGTTATGTTATGTTAATAACAAACAAAAGGTCAAAACTAAAAAGCAAAAAAATAACTATTATTAGTATTGATAGGTTACCCACCCACTGGCAGGTTAGAAGTCGGCGCTCCTCCTATTTTTGAAGTCGGTAAAAAGCGGTTATGTCAATATTACAAAGAGACACTCGAATTTTAGACCAGGGTAGATAATTTTTGAAACCAAAAAAAATTACCGTAGGATAAAACCCATTAGAAAAGGAGGGGAATATGATCAAAATGAAAGGAAAAATAAATTACGGTCGATCCGAGTTCGGGAAGTGGGAGGTTTTGAAGTTATGTGAAAAATCTGCAAATACAAAAGTTGTAGATCTTTTTATTGCCTACAACTTTGCCATTAAACTTTTTTCCATAGGACTTGTAGTTTTGCCGGAAATCAAGATAAACCATTTTTTACCCTTAAAAACTCCCCCCCCACACTTCCCGAACTCAGATCTTCGTCGATAATTTATTTTTCGTCTCATTTTGATCATATTCCCCTGCTTTTCAAATGGGTTTCATCTTACTGTAATTTTTTTTTCATTTTTTACCATTTTTGTAGGCTTTGACCCTGGTCTATTTGATTTATCTGTACCTATAGATTCTTCATAAATCATTCAACTGGAAATATTTTGTTAATCATTATCTAATAATCTAAGTCAAGTGATGAGGTTATGACAAACCCCTCTTATGTAGAGGATGCTCATCGTCCAGTAGTGGACTGTCAACCTCTGTTGATGATAAATGACACGCATTCGACATTCCTGTCGCCCGCCTTTTGACCCCGGTAGCTTGAATGTACATTTAAAAAAAATACACAACGAATCGTATTCATTCATTACGGTTCCGTATAAAGAAGAAAATTAAATAAAGAAAAAACTATTAATTACGTCACGACACACAATAAGAATACAGTACGGTCCACGATTACGAGTTATAACAGGTATGAAGTTAGCCGCGAGTCACTTTCGCGCATGTACACTCGCAAATAAATTGATTAAACAATAAAACAGCACATCACATCAACAGCCTGTAAATGCCCACTGCTGACCAAAAGCCTCTTCTTACACGGAGAAGTTTTGAATATTAATCACCACGCTTGCTCAATACGATTTGGCGATTACAAACTTATAATTAGAAATTATAAGCCTCGGTTTCCTCATGATGTTTTCCTTCACAGTTTGTCAGTGGTGTCTAGTTAATCTTAGAAAGTACATATAACTCGGAAAAAGTCACATTGGTACTTGCCGTTGGTAGGTTTCGAAACCGCACTCTCGTACATGAGAAGTAGGCGTCTTAAACCTCCGGGCAACCACGACTAAAACAATAAAAGTCAAACAATACAACGATTTTGTTTAATTAGAGTCAATCTCTAGCACATCTCTATCTCACACATGTCGCAGTTTTGGTTCCTAAAACATGTTATTGCGCAGTTATCTGGGCGAACTTCACAACTGTCGTAACTCGTGAACCGTACTGAGGCCTTAGTACGGATTTGTTTTACGTGATTGGTTGCTTCATTGGCGCCGGCCAATCACAGTGCCGAACGCATACTCGTTTCGAATACTTTAAACGTAAATCAAACTCGTACTAAGGCCTCTGTACAGGTTCACACAAAAAGTCCACGGCGCGTCGTAACGCAAAAGAAATATAAGAAACTTTTTAGTGGCTGAATGATTGTTATTTAGAGAAGTAACACTCCTAATGCCTATAACTCCTGTGCACTTTAATGTTTGACAAGGGCATGGACCAAGAGTCCGTGGAGAATTAATATGTAACATTAAAAACGACTCCTGTGCACCAGGATCTACAGTAGATACAACCATGAAAACACCGGAACATTGAAGTCCAACGTTCCAGGGACATGAGCAACTGTCTTGGTTCCCGCAACGAAGTGAATCAGAGGACATTATAAGAGGACAAGAAAAAAACGATAGTTTCCACTTCCCTCGGTGAATTACTGCAGGAGACAGAATGAATTAAGCCTAAAGGCACAAAAAAGAGACTGTACAACTGGGTGAAGTCCAGTCGCCAAGTACCACGGAAATTTGACTTAAATCTGGAAATGTCTTCTTAATATTATATTTTTTTTGTGGAATACACCGGTAAAAGAGCAGACGGATCACCTGATGGTAAGCAATCGGCGTCGCCCATGGACACCTGAAATAACAGAGGCGTTACAAATGCGTTACAAACCTTTTGGGGATTAGGAATTTGAGGAATGTCGGGGATTTGGGGATTGGGGAGACTGGATAAGAGGGGGTGGGGGTAATTGTGCTTCCGATATCCTCACATACGACGAAATACAACGTTGTTTCACGTCTGGTTTCTGCTCGGCCGTGGTGTCAATCCGGTCGAGCCGGTCCATTCGTGCTCAAGCATGGCTCTCCCGCACATAGGTACTTAGTATTTCTCACACTTAGGAGCAGGCATACTACCTTTTACCCGCGGCTTCGCTCGCGTCATAAAAGGATAAAAAGTGCCTATGCGACATATACCAATATACACAGCGCCATCTATACCAATA